GTAGGAGATTCCCAGCTGAGGCAGGAGAATCAGTGTGAGTTTGAGGCTAGCCTGTCTCAAAAAAAAAAAAAAAAAAAAAAAAAAAAAAGAGTGATGGGATGGCTCAGTTGAAAAAGTGCTTACTGCACAAGCATAAAGACTGAGTTTGGATCCCCACCATTGGTGTAAAAAGCTAACACAGCAGTGTGTATATGTATTCCCTGGAAGGGTAGGGAGTGACAGGTGAATTCCTGGATTTCCCTGGCCAAGTAGCCTAGCTGAATCAGTGAGCTCCAGCTTCATGAAGAAATCTTGTCTCAAAAATATAATCAGGTGGAGGGCTGGAGAGATGTCTCAATGGTTAAGAGTGCTAATTGCTCTTGGAGAGAACCTGGGCTCAGTTCCCAACATTCACATCAGGTGGCTCACAATTGCCTATAACTTCAGTTCCAGGGGACCTGATGCCTTCTGACTTTTGAGGGCATCTGCACACATGTGGTGCACATAAACTCATGTAGGCACACAAACATATACATAATAAATAGATTAATTAAAAAATAAGGTTGAGTACATTGAGGAAGACACCTGACATTGACCTCTGGCTCCATACATATGTGCATGCACACACCCAAACACATACAATACACACACACACACACACACACACACACACACACACACGAAAAAGAAAACTCAACAGAATGGGAGAAAATCTTGGCAGACATATATCTGATAAGTTATGTATCTGGGCCAAACCTTTTGGCACCAGCCTATAGTCCCCAACACTCAGGAGGCTGAAGCAGGAAGATCTTGAGTTCCAGTCCAGCCTTGGCTACACAATGAGGCCCTGTTTCAAAATAAAAATATAGACCTGATGCTGAGCATATACATATATATATATATATATCCCCTATAAGCTAAGAACAAAAATACAAACAATATATTTTTAAAATCAACAAAAGACTATTTAATACATATTTCGCCAAGGAAGATAAACATATGATCAACAAACATGAAAAGATACTCACTGTCAGTAGGGAAATGTAAATCAAAACTACAATAAGAGGGCTGGGAATATAGCTCCCAATAATGAGAGGCATGGTGGTATACACCTGTAATCCCAGAACTCTGAGGTGGAGACAGAAGCTTGGGGGTTCAAATTCACTTAGCTATATAAGTTTAAGGTCATTCTGGGCTACATGATACCCTGTCTCAAAAATAAAGGAGGTGGGGGGAGGGGGGCTTTTCCCTTGGAGCTTGTTCTATTTAGTATTAATTGTCAACTAGACATAGCCTAGAATCACCTGAAAAATGAGTCTTAATCAAGTTGGTCTGTGGGTATGTCCATGAGGGATTATCTTGATTATTAATTGATGTAGGAGGACCTAGCCCACCTTGGGCAGCACTATCCCTAGGCAGGTGGTCCTGGGCTAGAGAGCTAGCTAAGCATGAGCCTGTGAGCAAGCCAGAAAATTAGCCAGCAAGCAGCATTTTTCTATGGTTCCCAGCTCCAGGGACATGTATTGAGTTCCTGCCCTGACTTGCCTTAGTGATGCAATGTGACCTGGAAGCCAAATAAACCCTTTCCTCCCTAAGTTGCTTTTTGTCAGAATGTTTTATCACAGCCACAGAATGAAAATAGAACCAAGTTCCTCCCACTCTTGGTTGGGAGTTCCTTTTCACTCATTTTCCTTAATAAATCTACATTTTCTCTGTTTAAAAAAGATTCTGATCTATCCCCACCTCCCTACCCCTTCCCATTTTGTGTCCTCTATTTTTTTTTTTTTTTTTTGGAGATAGGGGACGGGATAAAATATGATAAAAATACATTGTATGAAATTCTCAAAAAACTAATAAAAGTGTTATTTTTTAAAATCCTCACATTTTGCTGAAGACCCCCCAACCCCCATGCAATGGTTTGTCCCCTCATTCCTAAATCTTCCTGTTTTCTCGGCCCCTAACTCAAAAGTCATTGCTCTGTCTTCTCCATATCCTTCCTCCTTGCAGCTCCTGAGATTTATAGCTTGCCTGCTTTGTTAGTTTTCTCTCAAACTCTAATAAAATTGTCCTTGGACATTTCAGGTCAGATCAGACATAGTGGCACACACTTGTAATCCTAGCATGTAGGAAGCAGGAGCAGGAAGAGCATCAGAAGTTTGAGGCCTGCCTAGTCAATATGGTGAGTTAGAGGCCAGCCAGGGCTACATAATGAGACATTGTGTCAAAACATACAAAAAAGTCAAGCTCTGACAAGGATGTTGGAGAAAGTAGCACTTTTTTTTGGTCTTTTTGAGACAAGGTCTCCCTGTACCCACAGCTGGCCTCAAACTCACTGAGATCTGACTGCCTCTGCCTCCCGAGTGCTGGGATTGAAGGCATGCACCACCACACCAGGCGAAAGTAGCACTTTCATATAGAGCCACTGGGGATGGAAAATGGTACACCACTGTAGGAAACATCCTGAAAGTTTCTCAAAAAGTCAAAGCCACAGCCACTATATGAGCCAGAAGCCACTATATGGGCCAGCACTTACATTCCTAGGTTTTTCCCCGAGAGGAATGAAAACCTATGTCTAGAGCTGAGTATGGTGTTCAATGTCTGTAAACCTAGCACTTGGGAAGCAGAGGCAGGAGAAACAGGAGTTCAGGGTCATCCTCAGCAACACAGCTGGTCTATATGACCAGCCTAGGATGCATGAGACCCTGTCTCAAAAACAAAAACAAAAAATCCCACAAAAACAAAATGTCTACACAAAAATTTGCTCATGGCTGGGTGTGGTGATCTGTACCTGGAATCCTGGCACTCAAGCGACTGAAATAAGAAGATTGTCATAAGTTTGAGGTTAGCCTAGGCTACATATGGAATATCAGGCCAGTTGAGGCTACGTAGAAAAGCCCTGCCTCAAAAAAATTGTAGATGAATGCCCAGACTAGCACTGGTTATAACGCTCCAAAGACAGAGACAGGGCTGGTGAGGTGTCTCCAGAGATAAAAGCATTTGCTGAGCAAACATGACCACCGGAGTTCAATCCCTGCATCCCATATAACCTCCACTTATGAGCCAGGACACATGTATACCTGCACTTCTACACAAACACACACACAGACACACTCACACGCACATGCATGCACCCCACATGCACATACTAAAAATAATAAAATGAAAAAAAATATAAGATGGAAACTGCTGGGGATGTAGCTGAGGTGGCAGAGTGTTTGCCTAGCAAGCATGTGGCCCTGGGTTCCATCCCCAGCACTGAATACAGACTGGCTTGGGCTGCAGAAGGCTGAGCAGGTAAAGGCTCTTGTCAAACCTGATGATTTGAGTTCGATGCTGGGACCCTTATGGTAGAAGGGAAAAACAACTCCTGAAAGTTGTCTTCTGACCTCCACACGGTTTCTGACATGCACACAGACATATACACACAAAAAATAAATAAAATTTAAGGAGGTGGCACACAGCTTTAATCCCAACACTGGGGAGACAGAGGCAGGAGGATCTCTGTGAGACTGAGGTCAGCCTGGTCTACATAACAAGTTCAGGCCAGCTAGGGCTACATAATGAGATCCTGTCTCAAAAAAATATAAAAAACAAACAACAAAAACCACCATCAACAACAAAAACCTAGCATGGAAGTGGATACAGGAGAATCAGAAGTTCAAGGTCACCCTCAACTACATGTCTAGTTTGAGGCCAGGTTAGGCTACATGCAAACCTGTCTTCAAAATAACAAATAAATAAATAATAGATAAAATAAAATAAATGTGCATGTTTGTTGTTGAGGTTTTTTTTTTTTTTAATTTGGTCTTTTTGAGACAACGTCTCCCTGTAGCCCCAGCTGGTCTGGAACTCACTATGTAGACCAGGCTGGCCTCAGACCAAGCTGGCCTTGAACTCACAGGGACCTGCCTGCCTCTGCCTCCCGAGTGCTGGGATTAAAGGCGTGCGCCACCAAGCCCAGCCTGTTCCCTGCTTTTGAATTCAAGAGACATTTGCCTCCCTTCTCAGCCTAAAATAACTATTTTTAAAAAACAGAACAATGAAGCCGGGTATGGTGGTACATGCCTTTAATCCCAGCACTCCAGAGGCAGAGGCAAGCGAATCTCTGTGAGTTCAAGGCCAGCCTGGTCTACATAGTGAGCTCCAGGCCAGCTAAGGCTGCAGGGAGACCCTGTCTCAAAAAATAAAAATAAAAATAAAAGAAACAGAACAACGGAGAGAAAAGAAAGAACTAAAAAACAGAACGATGGGAGGCAAATGCCTTTTGGATTCAAAAGCAGGGAACAAACATACACAGAGTTGCTAAGTTTATTAATGAAAGAAAAGTAGCACCTCCTATCTGTGCTTGGACTCCCAGTTCCCGGCACAGAGATATAAGCATTCATCCTGGATACTGGTTTGAGTCAGTCTATTCCATATTGGATACTGTTTTTAAGGACTGGAAGCCATTTGTTGGAGGGAGGTTTCTTCCCCCAGCATTCTGTGTCTACTTCTCTCTTGACCCAGCCAAGTTGGTTGGGTGCAGTGTGCAGGAGAGTTGAGCTTCTGGCAGTGAGGAGAGGAGGCCATCAGAAAGAAAATGGGGAGGAAGAGCACACAGACAGAGGAACTTTAGGCTTAGAGTAATGACAATGGTAGGGAATCTTCTAGGGATCAGAGGCACCGAAGCCTCCCTGTTGCTCAGCTCAGTACCCTAAAGAATTCATAGTGGGGCCTGGAGTGTTGCAAATGCATTAGTGTATACGGTATCTCGCCAGCCCAGAGTAATTTATGATGCATTCTAAAGAGCTAGCAGTCTAAGCCTGGGTTTGTGGCTCAGTGGTAGAGGGTTTGCCTAGCATGCATGAGGCCCTGGGTTCAACTACCACACACAAAAAATCATTTTTTTTGGTCTTTTTGAGACAGGGTCTCCCTGTAGCCCCAGCTGTCCTCGAACTCACAGAGATCTGCCTGCCTCTGCCTCCTGAGTGCTGGGACTAAAGGCGTGTACTGCCATACCCGGCCACAAAGAAGAATTTTAAAGATATATGGACTGCTTCATGAATTTGTGTATCATCCTTGCATAAGGGCCATGCTAAGCTTCTCTGCATTGTTCCAATTTTAGTATTATGTGTTGCCGAAGCAAGCACATAAAATAGAATTTAAAATGTTGAAACTTGGAGGTTGGAGAGATGGCTCAAGGATTAGAGCACGTGCTGATCTTACAGAGGACCTGGGTATGGTTTCCAACACCCACATGGCAACTCAACAACTATATGTAACTCCAGTTCCAGGGGATCTGATGCCCTCTTCTGGCCTCTGAGGGCATTGCACACACATATAGGCAACCTATATACACATAAAATAAAAAAGATTAATTAAGCTGGGGTGGTGGTACAAGCCTTTAGTTCCAGCGCTTGAGAGGCAGAGGAAGGTGAATCTCTCTGAGGTTGAGACCAGCCTGGTCTACATAGTGAGTTCCAGGCTAGCTGGGGTTACAGGAGGACCCTGTCTCAAAAAGACCAAAAAAAAAAAAAAAATAGATTAGCCAGGTGCAGTGGCACACACCTTTAATCCTAGCACTTGGGAGGCAGAGGCAGGCAGTTCTCTGTGAGACTGAGGCTAGCCTGGTCTACATAGTGATTGCCAGGCCAGCTGGGGCCGAGACAGGAGGATGGTAAATTACAGGGAGACCCTATCTCAAAAAGACCCTTCCCCCCCAAAATAGACTAATTAATTTAAAATGTTTTAATGTAGAAACTTTGGTTCAGGGCCCTCCACAGTAATCCAGGAAGCATACACTGATAGACCTTGGTCAGACAATGAGGGGTTCTGAATTTAGAACATTGCTTAAAGTTGCCATAGTCTTTTTGGTACGTGAGCCAGGTCCTAGGGGCTAATCAGTAAACACTAAGTTAGGTGCTGTGGGTGGTTCCATAGTAACCACTGTGTGTGAGGAAGATTTTCTTGGGTAACCTGAGGGACTGATTCAATCAATAGTGAAGCTTAATAGCAGGGCCTGAGGAAAGAAATTTTATCTGAAGATTACAGTCTTAGCTGATGCCATGGATGTGAAGTCTATGCCTGGGAGCCCAATCTCCTTTTTCTGAAGGACTGTCCTACAGTCTTCCAATTTGCTAGTCAGAGCCTGGAAATGTCAAAGCCAATACCTTACAGAAAGTCTCTTCATGTTTATCTCCTATGGGCTCTGCCTCTCTGGTTGAACTCTGATTAAAAACAAGAACGAAAAAACAAAAACAAGCATGCCCAGCACTGTGTCAGGTCTGTAATCTTAGGAGACCCAAAATTCAAGAGGCCAAGACAGGAGGATGGTAAATTCCAGTCCAACCAGGGCCATATCTCAAACACACAAAGCAACCAAAATAAACTCTAATACTGTAGATCAGTGATCAGATTAAAATGTGTTCAGATCTCAGGCTCTGGCTTCAGCGACCCCCCCAAATTATTCACATGGAGCACACCTGTACCCACATTATTTCTTTCTCTCTTTTTTTTTTCTTTTGGTCTTTTGAGACAGAGTCTCCCTGTAGCCCCAGCTGGCCTAGAACTCAATATGGAGACTAGGCTGGCTTTGAACTCACAGAAATCCACCTGCCTCTGCCTCCAGAGTACTGGGACTAAAGGCGTGTGCCACCACACCTGGTTCGCATTGTGATTTCTACAACCATTTTCCAATAAAAGGAACCATGGCCACTTCTAGGTCTGTGGAGTATTGAATTATAACACAAAGCATAAAATATTTAAAAGTTCATACTAGCCGGCTGTGGTGGTGCACACCTTTAGTCCCAGCACTTGAGACGCAGAAGCAGGCAGATCTGAGTTCAAGGCCAGCCTGGTCTACAAAGTGAGTTCCAGGACAGCTGGGGCTACAGGGAGACCCCGTTTCAAAAAAACCAAAAAAAAAAAAAAGGTTCATACTAAGTAGTTGAAGAGATGACTCAGAATTAAGAGCACTGGCTGCTCTTGCAGAGGACCCTGGTTCAGTTCCTAGCACCCACATGGTGGCTAACAATATCTGTAACTCCAGCTCCAGGGAATCCAACACCCTTTTCTGAACTCTGTGGGCACTGCACATCAGTGCACTTACATAGAAGCAGGCAATACATTCATATACATAAAATAAAAATAATAAATATTTTTAATGGGCGCTGCAGAGATGGCTCAATGGTTAAGAGCACTAACTGCTCTTACAAAGGACCCAAGTTCAGTTCCCAGCACCCACGTGATGGCTAACAACCATCGGTAAAGCCAGTTCCAGAGGATCTGATGCCCTTTTCTGACCTCTGAGGACACTGCACGACATGCGTGCACTTGCATTCATGCAGGCAATACACTCATACACATAAAATAAAAATAATAAATAAAAAAATTTAAAATAATAAATATTTTTTGGTCACCACACCCGGCATAATAAATATTGTTTAAAAAATAAAAAATAAATAAAAGTTCATACCGATATAAAGAAATTTTTTGTTGTTTTGTTTCATGGGGACAGTCTCCTGTGGCCCAGGCTGAGGTTCGCCTTGGACTTCTTATGCTCTTGCTTCCATGTCCCAAGTGCTAGAAGAAATTAATGAATACATAAATAAATGGAAGGGGAAACAAACTTTGTGTGCAGGAGAATACCAAACAATGTATGTTCAAGGAGGGGGACTATAACTTCTTACTCCTTTTCTGGTTTTGTTTCCTTTTTCCTTTCTTCTCTTTCTCTCTTTTTTTCCAGAGTCTCACTAAGCAGGCCTGGCTGGCTTCAGATTCTCCATCTTCCTGCCTCAGCTCTAGTGCTAGGATTACAGCCATACACCATCACACCCCACCCTACTCCTTAAATGAATGCTGTACCTAATGAGTTATTTCCAAAATATAGCCAGAGAGAAGAGAAAACACTACACTGAAGAAACCTGACGCGCCATCTCAGCCAGGTGATCTAGGTCAATATCAAGACCAACACATCATTTTGATGATATGTTCTCTAGACAGGATACAAGAAACATGACACTTTGACCTCTGCAATCTTCCTTAAACTAAATTCACAACTCTAATCTAATCATGAGGAAAACATCAAATGAATTGCAGTAGAGGAGCATCCTACAGATACTTGATCAATAAAACTGTCTAAGACAGGGCTGGAGAGAAGGCTCAGCAGTTAAGATTACTGGCTGCTCTTGCAGAGGACCTGGGTTCAGTTCCCAGCACCCACATAGCAGCTAGCAACTGTTGAAATTCCAGTTCCAGGGGACCTGCCACCCTCTTCTGACCTCTCAGGGCATTGCACAACACAGGTGCACTTACATACATACAGGCAATATGTTCATACATGTAATATAAAAATAATAAACAAAATACTAGAAAAAAACTGTCTGAGTCATCAAAGACAAAAGAGGTGGGACAGCCAAAAGGAGTCTAAGGTGATGTGGTAGCTGGATGCATTGTGGTCTCATGACTGGGATCCTGAAATGCAAAAGAGAAATTGTCTTTAAAATGCAAAACTAGTTGTGGTAGTTCATGTCTATAATCACAGCACTTAAAAGGCGGAGGCAGGAGGATTGCCATGAGTTGGGGGTCAGCCTGGGCAACAGTGTGAGTTCCTATTTCAAACAAAGAAAATAAAAGGAAAGGAAAATGGAATAAACTACGGCTTTCTCTATGGTATCATCTCAACTTTTTTTATAAGTATAAAAATGTTCCAAAAATAATATCTTGTGGGCTGGAGCGATGGTTCAGTGGTTAAGAGCAAAGAGGACCCAGGTTCGATTTCTAGCACCAAGTTGGTAGCTAACAGCGATCAGTAACTCCAGTTCCAGGTGATCTGATGCCGTCTTCTGGCCTCTATGGGATTTGCACGACATGGGTATACTTATATACATGCAGATAAAACACTCATACACATAAAAAATAAATAAAATTTTAAAATATATATTTAAGAAAAACTAGATCCACTGGGCATGGTAGTGCACACCTTTAATCCCAGCACTTGGGATGCAGAAGCAGTCAGATCTCTGTGAGATGGAGGTCAGCCTGGCCTACATAGTGAGTTCCAGGCCAGCTGGAGCTACAGGGAGCCCCTGTCTCAAAAAGATGTGGCTGGGCATGGTAACACATGCTTGTAATCTCAATATTGGGGAGATGGAGGCAGGAGGATCAGGATTTCAATGTCATCCTCAGGTACATAACAAGTTCAAATTGTGCCAGAGCCACATGAGATCCTACCTCAAAAAAGGAGAAAGAAAGAAGAAAGGAAGAGAAAGAAAGAAAAGTAAACCAAAAACCACCTAAAAAGAGGGCATTCAAGTTCCTGTTTCTACTGAACTTCTGTTATCCTAACAGGACTTGCTGTTTGCTGACCATTTTGTTTCACACATAATAAGCTCAAGTGGTACCATTTATGCAAGGTTACCATATACCTAGAAAAATGTGCATAATATGTGCATCAGCAGAACAGATTTATGAGGCAGGCCCTCCTAATTTCACCCTTCCACAGTCAAGGACCCTGAGAAGAGTGAGTGGTTTGCCCTAGGCCGTGTAGCTAAAAGGTGGTAGAACCAAGTTTTAACCAGACAGTCTGCCACCTAGCCTCTCCTTAGTAAGTCAAATCCTTCCTCTACTGTCTGACTCATGCCTTGCCATCCCTCAGGACCTTGGATCCACTGACCCTATAGTCTTTCAACATCTCTTTCTCAGGCCATTATGCAAACAAGTTTCCACGGCAAGATAAACCCATCCACTAAGTTCACAGCCTAGTCAGTCTCTCTCAGTTTGTACACACTCACAATTGTCTATTGGTGAATATCTTCTCTTGGATGACTTAGAAGATCTGTAGCTTCTTAACAAAAAACTCAACTGATGCCCCAGCCTACCCTCCAAATGCTCTAATGGTCATTCCCTTTTAGTAAATGACACAAGCCTCCACCCTATTGTGCAAGCCAGACACCTGAGCATCTTCATGGTCGCCTTGCTCTTCCTCCACCTCAGTAGTCAATCACAAGCCCTGTTGATCCTGTTAAATATTTCCTGTCCTTCCATATCATCCGTCTCCACTACCTCTGTCCCAGTTGTCACCAGTATGCCTCCATGTCTGAGCCACCAACCACAGTCTCCTTTGAGTCCCACTCCACGCCTACCCAACCAC